TACATTCTCTTTGTTTTAAAACTAAAAGTCCAACCCCTTATCCTTAAAGGAGGCCCAACTAAATAACACAAAAGCCCAATAATTATGCTTTAGAAATAAAATAAACCCCACAACAACCCGGAATAAAATAGTTAACTTAAACTCTAAAACCCCAGAATAATAATTCAAGAAAAAGTAGAATTTAGGAAGGGAAATCCTAAAACCCCTGAATTTAAGATTTAACTAAAAAAAATCTCCTACACAGGTCGAGAACTTAAATTATCTTAATCCAATGAAATTAAACTTAATTATAATTTAGCCAAAAATTAGAATTTCAAAGTTAGAAAATCCAAGAATTAAAGTTATCAACTTAGGGAAAAATCCAAAGACACTATTTATCTCTTAAAATAAACGAGTCAGAGAACGCGGGGCGTTACAATTTGTCTAGGCTAGAGTCTTCTTTGCAACATGACAACTTGGAAATTAAAGAGAAGTTTGTGGGTGAGCATCTGTTAGCTATTTCTAAAGTCCTTTGGTATGCAGATTATGCAAACTATCTGGTTAGCAGTATAATTCCTAATGATTTGAGTAAGCACCAGATAAAGAAGTTATTTCATGATGTTTGGTTTTATAGATGAGATGAACCTTTCTTGTTTAAATTAAGACCTTACAATATTCTCCGTAGCTGTGTTGCTGAGCATGAACAGAAGAAGATTATGGAAGCATCCCACAAATCACCATATGGTGAACATTTCATTGGACGTAAAACAGCAGCGAATGTCCTCCAAATTGGTTTCTTTTGGTCATCCCTATTTTGAGATGCTCACATATTCACTCAAAGTTGTGACCGTTGTCAAAGACCAGGTAACTTGACACAAGAACATGAGATGCCCTTAAACCCAGTACTGGAAGTTGAACTTTTCGATGTTTGGGGCATCGACTTCATGGGTCCGTTCCTACCTTCATTCGGTAAGAATTACATTCTCTTGGCTGTGGACTATGCTTCGGAATGGGTCGAGGCTTTGGCCACCCCGACTAATGATGCCAAGGTAGTTTCTCTCTTCTTGCAAAAATTTATTTTCCCTAGATATGGTACACCTAGATGCTTCATTAGTGATGAGGGCACACACTTTTTAAATAGAGCAGTAAGTAATTTGTTAAAAAAATATAACATTCATCATAAGATTGCTACTGCATATCACCCTCAACTAAATGCATTGCGGCGATATCAAATAAGACAATAGAATCAATTTTAAAGACGTTTGTGAATGTGAATAGGAAGGACTGGGCTATTCAACTTGATGATGCTTTGTGGGCGTATATAACCGCTTATAAAACTCTTTTAGGTATGTCCCCTTATCTCATTGTTTTTTGTAAAACATGTCATATTCTGCTAGAATTAGAGCATAGAGCATTYTGGGCTACGCAGAATCTAAGTTTTGAGTTATTTTGCTGTAGGTGAAGCAAGGTTGCTACAGTTACATGAGTTGGATGAGTTTCATCAATTTTCTTATGAGAATGCTAAGATGTATAAAGAACAAACCAAAAAGTGGCACGATACGAAAATAGTGGATAACAATTTGGAACCTGGAGACTTAGTATTATTGTTCAATTCTAGATTAAGGTTGTTTCCAAGTAAGCTTAAGTCTAGATGGTCGGGCCCATTTGTAGTTGAACGTTATAATCCACATGGAGCTGTGAATTTGAGTGATTTGAAAAGTAATATTTTTAAGGTAAATAGGCATCGAGTAAATAAATATTTTTGTGAGCATATTGACAGAGGCAAAACCTCTGTACTACTGAAAGATACATGAAAAAACAGCAAAAATAGTCCCTCGGTTGGATCCAAATGTAATTTTTGTTTTTGCATTTGAATTTGCAAGATCAAGATCTGACCCACGTCCAAATTGCACCAGGAACAATTTAAGAAAAAAAAATAAAAAATTCTAGTTTTGGGCATGATTTCCATGGGCTTTATTTGGGTTGTGTTTTAAATGGGTTTTGGGTTATTTTTAAATCAAAAGGGGTCCATTATTAAACCCTATTTTGTTTTTAAAATGTTTTAATACATAAAACATAAAGCTTTAAGTTTTCAAAAAACCCTCATCTGTGATTTCCTCACATCTCCCTCACTTTGTTTTCAAATCTACTCTCAAGAAATCTTCAAGAATCTTCATGTCTCTCACCTCCCTCTCTTTTTTAGCACACATAGGGCTTGTTGGAGGAGTTTTTTTTTTTTTTTTGTTGATCGTGAAGCAAGCTAAAGAACCATGGAAGGCTCTTCCTTCTCCAATCAATGTGACAGAGATAAGGGGAAGAAGAAGGTGTTGTTGCCGCCGCCAACTAAACCGGGTATGATTCCTTTAGAACCTCCGAGGATTTCTCGTGAAAAGCTAGTTTTTGATCCTAGGGAACAAGGAAGAAATTTTGAGGAAGGTTTAAGAATGAACCCTAAAAGAAATCTATCCATAGGTGGTGCAAATTCTGAAAAAATCAATGTAGAATCACATTATGCTAGGGTTAGTTAAGAAGTTCATTGTAAAAAGAAATTAGGGGGAGTTACTAAGGTCTATCTTAAAAAAAACAAATCCTTGGAGGAAAAAGTGCTGCAAAGATGAGAGAGTGTGTTTATGCAAAGATGTGCACAACAGTGTGTTCCTGATTGTAGCTCGAACTCGGCCTCCGTACCGACCTGAACCTTTGGGCGGACCTGCACAAAAAGGTGAGCACTCCGACGATCAAGTCATTATAGGTCGGATTCCAAGTTCAGTTCCAAGCCAKAAATCATCGTACCTGATCGTGGAGTGAGGTCCTCTACTTATGGGTGGTAGTCCCGCCAATCTCGCGACGGTTACACCCGGTAATCYCGGGACCGTCGGTTACGCCCGGTGATCTCGGGACCAACGGTTACGTCCGGTAATCACGC